CTTGTCTTATTACCAGGCAAGTAATGCTGAGCAAGATGTGTACTCCTCCCCTCCCCCACTTTGACTTTCTAGTATGTACAAATGGGAATGAAACTACCTTGCACTACAGTTGTCAGGATTAAATAACTTGTGTGATAGTGCCAAGTCCCATGCACAGAGCTACATGTGTTACATTTTCTTTCTATTGTTATCTTAATGAGATGTCAGACAGGATTGAAAATTATATGAAATCCAAATACCCTAAATTGGTATAACTAAATACCAGAGAAATAGACAGATTAAGAGTCTATTCTGCCAAGTGAATGACTGATGGGCAGAAAGAATAAAACAACACACTGAGACAATGAACATACTTTCTAACAAGAGAACTCAAATAAATAATAAAATTTGCATTTTTTGGAATGCTAAAAATAGAATCATTAAACTACTCCCTTTATAGATCACAAATGCCTATAACATTAATTAAGCAAAAACTATGTGTCAGGTGCTGAGCTAAGTATTTTAGAAGGATTTTATTACTTAATTCTCTTTAGCAAGTGGCAGAGCCAGGATTTGAATCCAGTAATCTGATGCCAAAATTCCTAATCATCATGTTCTGCCTACCTACTAATAAAATGTGGGTTTAACAACTTCATGGTCACTTTCCTTTGCTCAAAATAACCAACATTTCTTAACCTTCCACTAATTTTTTATAACATGAAATATTAGCCCATGTTTTGATAAAAGGAAAAATTAAGACATTTTCCAGCTCACAGCTACATATTCTACAAAATGTTCAAAGCATATTAAATCTGAATCTAAATCTAAATCACAATCTGAATCTAAATTACTGTTATCAAGTGATTAAATTCTAGGCCTGGGTGATATTTAAATATCTGTTATACTTACTTAGAATATATGCTTTGCACATAGTAATAACAAATACTTATTGATTAGCTATTTAATTACAACAGATAAAGGATTAAATTACAATGTGCAAAGATTTTCTGCAGTCCCAGTATTTATTTTGTCAGTAATATACTATGAAGGAGGCTGTCTGGGTTATGAGAAATTCAAATGTTTATTTTCTTGCTGACATTTTAAGACAAATAATTAAAGCAGGGATGAGAAGCAAGATGACTTTCAAATATTAAAAACAACAACAAAGATGACCAACAATGTAGTGGGTAGCCACCCTTCCATATTCTCTTTAACCAAATCCCTGTGCTGCCTTTTACAAAGGCAAGGCTTCCTCTGACTATAAAGATGCTGAATGTCATTGATCACTTGTCATTACTTAAAATCACTTGATATTTATATGAAGTGAAAATACCTTTTCATTGAGATTACATATTTTCAATAGGCCTTTCTGATCATTTAGTGAAGAAACAATTTTAAAAATATAAATATGCTTGAAACAACTCATTACAGAACTCATATCATTATTATCTTATGCTTGGCCTCAGGAAGGTTATACAAAATCCGATTTGAGTTCAGAGTTGAGAAAACTGAATTATAGTATGTGATAGTTTTTGTGGGGTTTTGTATAGGTGTGTGTTTAAAGAAAGTATAATTGTATAACCAGATACTCTTGTTTCTCTGACTAGAACATAAATAAAGCCAGATCACAATCCTGAAAAGCTTGCTTTAGCAGCACAAACATACCAAATCTGTATTGGGCTATAACGAACAAAGAACTGACATCTCTTCTTAATACATGTTATATTTTAGGTCATAAAATGTATACAGTATTATTTTACAAAATTTTGCTCTGGCAAAATCTCTATTTTTAGGAAATGCCATATTCCCTTATCTGAGTTATTTCTTCTTTGGCTGATTCTGTTCTGTGTAGTTAGAATTATTACAAAATAACAGTAACAAAAAACTTTGCTGCAAATAAAAAGTAAAAGAAAAAATGAAACTTCATCATTTCTTTAGCTTAATAGTAAATAACTGCTAAAAGGGCCAGGGGCAGGTAAGTATTATATGAATAAAAGATTTTTAATTATACATCAATTCTATCAGTATGTATCATAATTTTAAAGATGATAGTGAATAAGTGGGTCATTAACTTGGAATACTCTAAAAACAACTCAACAGTAAGATAATTAAACAGCCAGTAATATTCCAGCTGAATGAAACATTCATAATGAAGACCAACTCTTGTTAATTTGAGTTAGCCAGTTAGAAGGTCTTTTTAAACAGTCAATTCAATTGGAAACTTTATATTAATTTTAAAGGTCTGATACCATCAATTTGGATCCCGCTTACCCCTTATTGTAAACAAGTACTGAGGTAGAAAAATGAGTCAATAGCTAAAAGTCTGAACAATCCCCAAATGGATAATTGGATTATAAATAATTAATATATATATTTTCTAAGCAAACCTAAACTCAGATCTTATAAAGCACATCTACTCCCCATAATTCAATTTCTTTCTGCATAGTTGTGTAAAAAGACTTAAATTATGTATAAGATATCAAACATTTATGTTCAAATTATCCTATCTATATACAAACTGATGTGTTTATGATACATTATCTTACCAACTCATTAAAACTGATGTCCTATGGTGCTTTATCAATACCTGTATTTAGATTTAATTGCAATACTTTAAATCATGAATCTACTACAGTTTAAAAATTTTTTCTATGTATACTTTTCAATGATTATGATTGTCCCCCAATTTAGAAATCATTCACACTCTGTTGAATGAAATTATGTGTAGATGATGGCCATAAGATACCAGCTTGAGTACAAATTTCCATCTCCCAGTAATCACTGAGATGGCTGAGGAAATGTAAAAGAAACCTTTACTAACACTAAAAGTGTAGGAAGAGTGTCTGTGACACCATACACCCCAAACCTCCCGCTGAGACTTCAGGTATCACTGAACATTCAACACTGTTGACTAGTCACTTTTTCATAAAGCTCTCTTCTTCCCTGGTTGCTATGTATACATTCACCTCCCTCTAAATCTGCTCTGCTGTCTCTCTTTAATAATCTTTAACTGATAATACACTGCTAAAATTAAGAAGGCCTTTTTTTTTTTAACAAAGTTTTCTTGCCACATGGTGTTGATAACATAGCATAGCACCCTGTATCTGACATGTGAACAGTAAATTGACAATAGATTTTGGGTATCACTAGAAATCTTTCAACATCTTTATAAATCACAAACTGCCATCCAGGTATTTCACATAGTGAATGAAGAATCACAATAGGAAAGGTCAAATCCAACATACTTATTTAATATGAAAGAATAACTCAACTGTGTGGAAGACACAACATCTAACCGAAAGCACAGAGAGTGGACCTAAAGGTAGGCAGCAATGTGCAAGACACAAGCTGGATCCCACATTTGGCAAGTGAGGTATGTATTAAAGATTTAATTCAGTCATTCAATACCTATGAATGTACCCTAAAGAAAAACTTAGACAAATACACAAAGATGTATATTTAAGCATAACTATAATAATAATAAAATACTAATAATAAACACTGGAAACAATCTAAATGTCCTTTCATAAAAAACTGGTGTGCTCAAATAATGGAATGTTACATATATGTAAATTTCACTGATATGGAATGAGTTCCATAATATACTGTTGAGAGGAAAAAAGCAGATTAAAAATAACGTGTATTATGAATAGTTGTACACATGGAGAGAGAACTGTAAAAATTATCACCAAAATACAAGGCTGGGCGCGGTGGCTCACGCCTATAATCCTAGCACTCTGGGAGGCTGAGGCAGGCAGATTGCTCGAGGTCAGGAGTTTGAAACCAGCCTGAGCAAGAGCGAGACCCCGTGTATACTATAAATAGAAAGAAATTAATTGGCCAACTAATACATATAGAAAAAATTAGCCGGGCATGGCGGCACATGCCTGTAGTCCCAGCTACTCAGGAGGCTGAGGCAGAAGGATCACTTCAGCCCAGGAGTTTGAGGTTGCTGTGAGCTAGGCTGATGCCACGGCACTCACTCTAGCCTGGGCAACAAAGAGAAACTCTGTCTCAAAAGAAAAAACAAAATACAAATAGAGGTTTCTTCTGGGTGGCTGGGAAAAAAATAATTTTTACTGTCGTCTTAATGATTTTAATATTTCTTAAAATTTCTAAATAAATATATATTATCCTTGTGATCAGAAAAACATTCTCTTCATGTTAGAAAAAGAAAATATATATTTATTTTTAATACCACTATTCTATTTGGGAATAATTGCCCTAAGAAAATAATCAGAAAAATTCATGAAGCTATAGAGTCAAAGATGTTTATCACAGCAGTGTTTTTATAGTAACATAGTGTCAATAATCTAAATGATCAATAGTGAATTTGTTAAATAAATTATAAAGAAACCATATGAAGACATACTACAAAGACATTAATATTAAGATAAAGATATAACCATCAACTACTAGTTCAGTGACTTTGGTGTCACATTCTCTAGGTATCAGTTTCTTCATCTGTGAAATGGGGCTAAAAACAGCACTTATCTCATAGTGCTTTACCTAGCACATTAGCTTTATTTCATTGTAATAGGAAATGAAACATCTGATGTGAGCTTCCTCTGGTATCACATATCAAAAATTATGGTACTTCAAAAATTACTTCGCTATATGCTTTTAAAAAATATTTTAAGATCAATATCAAATTTGGCCATCAATCTATATAAAAAATATGAACTAAGGCCACAAGGGCAGTGAATATCAAAATTGAAAATAGGGAATTTCTACAACTTCTACTCTAAGTTTTTAAACACTCCTATATGTATTCACAAAATAAGCTTGTTTATTCATTGATACATGTACAAAAAATAGTACTGGAAGATAGAACCAGGCTAACTTGGATACCTGAGGCACTGGGACAGGCCCCAATAAAAAGCTGTTTAAATTACAGTGACAGAAGGAATCAGTATCCCCACTTAATTGAACAACAAAACAGTATATGTATACATACTAAGTTTGCTTCTTCAATTTTACTATCATTGTACAAACATTTGCTTTAAGTAATTGAAACCAACCTGCCATGGTCTTTCCCAGTCCAGTGGAATAGGAAGTGCTCCAAGCCATGCTCCTACAAAACTAGAAATCGTAGTGATCTGGAGACTATTCTCCCAAATGGATGTAACTCTGTAAAACACAAATATGTACATCACTGGTGGTATGTATCTTAGCTGCTGAAGAATTAAACAAGCAGTAGCACAAATTATATGTATTTTTCTGTTCATTTAAAATGAGCATCTCAAAATGACATATAAATATTTACCATGAACTATGAATAATTAATTGGAAAGAAGATATAAATGTTTTTCCATTAGAAAGGTAATATGTACACATAGTAAGAATCAATACCAGAAATCATTTGCAGTGACAGGTTAAGTCTTCCTCCTACCCTTATCATCATCTCCTGGTCCTTTCCCCAGAGCAAATACTATTACCAAATTATTACAGATTCTTCCAGAAATATTTTATACATGAACAAATACATAATTTTTTGAAGAATATATGCATATTTACATAAATGCATATGTATACACACACATCCTTCAAAATAAAACTCACATGCATCAAGTTATAAACCAGTTTTGGTTTTCTGTTTTCTCTTGGTGACAGCTACAATATACGTCCATTCTATAGATGGAGCATCATCTATTCAACTAGTGTTTCCTTTAGTACATTTCATTTAAGCGAACAAACTATTTGGTAGGAAAGGGGTAGAGAATAAGAACAACATATTTCAAAAGGTCCAGTGATTTTGCCTACCATTCCTATTTACTAAGTGCACATATTAGAATATAAAGATGGAAAGAGATAACTCTGCCATTCTTTTAGTAGGTCTTGGTTTTCACCCATCCCTCACAGTGTGAATGCCTAGTTGTGTGGAACATGAGCCTGCTTACAATAGAGTAAAAACCCACCACAATGCAATAAAGTAGGGTCCAAATATTCAATTCCTTAAACTGCAGGGTAGAGTTACTATGAAGTTAATGAAAAGCAGCATTTTCCAGCTAGCATGGGTAAAAAAGGGAAAACATTTGTTTTTTTAGATTATTTCTCTCATTACAAACAGGCCAATTATTACACATAAAATATGCACTGAATTAAAGAAGTCACAAATGATAACAAGTCAGTTTGTAAACCAATCCTTCTATCATCACCTGTGCATCCCCTACCTACCCTCCCCCTCAACTACACAAGATGCGAGCCTTAGCTTGTTTCCTTTAAGAAGTGGGGCTGAGAAGAGATTGGAGCCAATCACTGCATATCCAAATTTGTACTATTTGCTGGGTTTTATTATTATTATTTTATATAACACCTATAAGTGCAAGTCAGTTTTTTCAACTAGCATTCAGTAGAACAAGAATCTATTCCAAACTTGGAAGATAAAAAACAAACAAACAAAAAAAAAACTAGCCAAGATGAATGTAATTGTACTGTTCAGGCAATTTAAGGGACTTTCTAGGATAATTTGTGATTATATGTGGTTGACAAATGTTGACTAAGCCTCCACTTAACACATAACTCCTCTATGTTGTAATACATAAAGTGATGTGCCTGGAGACATAAAGTATGGTAGAGGTTGAGAGCAGAGACTACTTTTTGCTGGGAAGAATTTACTCTATTTTATGGAAGAGGAGGAAGCTCAGCTGGATTTGAAAGAATAGGTAGTGTTAGGTTTTGAACTACAGAACTGGAGAAAAAGCTGCACTGCAGACAAGAGAATATAAGTGAAATTGGTTGAAGCAGAGAGGAAGAATGAGAAATAAGGTTGGAAAAACAAAGTTAGGATTTTTAAAAACAATTTTATTATAGTAAAATATTACCCTAGAGAATCCTTTTCCAGCCATTCAATTCACTCATTTAAAGTATACAAATCAATGGTTTTTAGTATATTCACAGAGTTGTGCAACCACCACCATAGTCAATTTTAGAACATTTTCATCACCCCAAAAGAAACCCTTTGCCCATTAGCAGTCAATCCCCATTTCTCCTTCCTCCCAGCCTTAGACAATCACTAAGCTACTTTGTCTCTATGGATTTGTCTATTCTAGACATTTCATATAAATGCAATTATATAACATGTGCTCTTTTGTGACTGGTTTCTTTCACTTAGTATCTTTTCAAGGTGCATCCATGTTGTAGCATGAATCAGTACTATATTTCTTTTTATTTTTTCTTTTTTTTATTTCAGTAATACCCCAGTATTATGGGGGTACAAATGTTTAGGTTACATATATTGCCTTTGCCCCACCCGAGTCAGAGCTTCAAGCGTGTGCATCCTGCAGATGGTGCACACTGCACCCATTAGATGTGAATATACCCAGCCCCTTCTCTGCCCTCCTATAATCATATTCCCTTGAATGGACATTCCCTTGTATGGACATTCTACAAAAGTTCGTGGATATTTAGGTCTTTGGTGTTTGGCTATTATAAAAAATACTGCTATGAACATCCATGTATAAGTTTCTGTATGGATATGTGCTTTCATTTCTCTTGGGATTAAACCTAGGAGTAGAACTGCTGGGTCATATGGTAACTCTATGTTTAATCATTTGAGGAACTGCCAGACTTTTCTAAAGTGGCTGAACCATTTTACATTCCCACCAGCAGTGTATGAGAATTCCAATTTTTCCACCCCCTCCTAACACTTGTCATTATCTTTTTTGATTACAGTCATACTAGTGGGTGTGAAATGGTATCTCACTATAGTAGATTTAGGTTAGGATTTTAGAAAAACCTTAAATGTCAAACTAAAGGAACTACTAAAGGTTTTAAATCAAGGCAACACATGATCAGAGATGTTTCAGGAAAATTTATGTACATTATCTTTCTAACCTCTAAGCTCTGGCAAGTTCCTTGGGCTAAGGGACAAGATCCATGTCTTCACATTTTTTATTGTTCCAGCACACTTGTGGCCATCTTATGTTTATTAAAATGAAAAGTACAAACATCTAAAAGGTTGTCCTCTATTTTGTTTTTTTGGTGTATCCAGGAGTGCTTATGATCCTACATATAATAAAAGTAGAAAAAATGGAACCAAGACCTGATTTAAAACTAGAAAAACTCTATAGCCTGTCTTTTTTTTATTTATTTCAGTATATTATGGGGGTACAAATGTTTAGGTTACATATATTGCCTTTGCCCCACTTGAGTCAGAGCTTCAAGCGTGTCCATCCCCCAGACAGTATGTACCACACCCATGAAGTATGAATATACCCATCCCTTCCTCCCAAGTCTATCTCTCCTCACTCCTGATTTCTGCTCCTGAGGCAGATACTCTTTTTGTTGTTTCTTCTATTTGGCTCAAATTTAAAAGAATATAAATTAGGTATAAATTTTTCAAGATTTAGTTACTTTCTGCTTTCTACTATGGGAGAAGAGAATTTAGCACCTATTACCCACAAGCCCTCACCTCCACATACTCATTTCTTCCTGACTCACTGGCCCTTCTTCAATGGTAACATGTCCCCCTTTTGGCTGGATCAACAGCACAGTGTCTCTATATTATGATTATGGAAATACTAATCATAATGAACTACACAGTAAACCACAATTACATTTCTTTTCTCAAAATAAATATAATTCTTTGGTGTGATGAGATGTTCTAAAATTAGACTGTGGTGATGGTTGTACAATTGTGCCTATACTAAAAAACATAGAATTATGCACTTTAAATGGGTGGATTTTACAGAATGTAGCTATATTTCAGTAAGGCCATTTTAAAACAACAACAAAGTGAAACATTAAATAGTTGATTGGATTGTCACTGTGTATGAGTAAGATGACTACCTAGTACTGAGCTTCACAGTATTGGGGATTGGGCAGGAACCTGGACTTTTCCTTAGAACTTCCCCAAATGTCAATTTCTATACATTTTTCTTTTGTACTATTTTCCCCAGAAAGAAATATTTCAACAGTCTGCCTAAATGTTGTATAAGCCTGGCTGCCAGTACTTGGGCCAAGCTGGGAGAAGGGCTAGGTGTAAGGTGAGGAGTCATTGTTTAGCATGTAGAATTTCATTTAATCCTTATTCCCTGAAGAGGTTGTAACAAACAGGCTCAGCATTTGGAGACAGCAAGAATAGTTGAGTATATGGGGAGCACAATTATATTTTCTCTAACTCCCCCTGCCATACTGTACAACTTCTATTGCTTATGCTATTTTTATAGTATTTATATTCTCTTCTCCAGCCCTAGTTTATTCAATATATTCTTAATATAGCTATTCCCTATAAGGTACAAAGTCAACAACTCCATCATTTGGGGAAAGTATCTTCTATCATATATTTGAATTATTTTTTGTTTTGTATTTTAGGGGCACTAACTAATGTTTGAATCTCTTTTGTCTCTTCTCTATATTTATCATATCTTCTCTAATTGCTTTATTCTTCCAAACTCCCTCTCTACTCTTCATTCATTTTGATTAGCTCAACTCTTTTCTCCATGCTAAAACTTGATTCCCTAACTTGTATGTTTCTTGCTGTTTCTAATTGATGATCTGTAATGGTGTGGTTTGGATTCTCAATTTATTTCATTAATTCTGTAATCAACTTCTCCACCTCATTGTTTCATTATCTTTGTCCTTATTTTATTGAATCCATATGCTTAACAATATTTTTCCACGGTAAACTGTAGAGGAGTTTTTGTTTCTTGGGTAGCATTTTCTTCCAGACCAGATTCTTTGTGTTTTGCATGCCCTTTTTTCCTCCTTCTTCTACAGTGTGTTTTTAGGGTTGCTGTGCCATTTCTTTTTATCTTGCTGATACTTCACACAGGCAGGCTGCTTTGACTACCTCCCTGCTCAGATACAAAGAGTGAATTATCTTTGAAGCTGTCTTCCCATCTTAACTAGCACCAATTTCCCTGCCTCAAAGCTGCCTTTTGAGGACTGGCTATTATTTTCTATCAAGTTTTCTGTAGCATGAGGCAGGGACAGAGCATGGAGACAGAGTAAGATAAATGTTATCTCTGTGATACAATCAGTAATATTCAGCTGAAATTTAATAAATGGTGGCTCCATAAATTAAACTTTTGAAAATTGGTGGATAGGGCTTATGTTTCCTCTTAGAAATCAGACAAAGCAACTATAGTACACAGTCTGCCCCCTTGGCAGAGCCATGTAGGCAGCAG